AGAAAGAGAGAATGAGCGTGAGTGTGGGGGAGAGGCAGAGAGAGAGAGAGAGAGAGAATCCCAAGCATGAAGCCCAACTTGGGGCTCAATCTCACAAACTGTAAGATCATGACCCAAGCTGAAATCAAGATTCAGCCACTTAACTGAGCCACCCAGGCACCACAAAAGATTATTCTTTTTTTTAATGTCTATTTATTTTTAAGAAAGAGAGAGAGTGCGTGTGCAAGCCGGGGAAGGGTAGGGAGAGGGAGACACAGGATCTGAAGCAGGCTCTGCACTGAGAGCAGAAAGCCTGATGTGGGGCTCAATATTATGAACTGTGAGATCATGACCTGAGCTGAAGTTGGGCACTCAACTTACTGAGACACCCAGGAGCTCCCCTAAAAGATTATTCTTAATGTGAATCCCTGTAGAATACAGGACTTTCAATAGTCTAACTCAATTATATTCAAAGGTGGATATGCCACTTTTCATTATTGGTAATTAAATTGGACTTTTTTTTACATTAAACCTAAAACAAGAGGCATGGAAACATGCTGTGTAAACTGAAGCCTGAGATAAACTGAGGGTATTACTATTCCCATGTCCACTATTATTCCTATTCCTCACAGGGTCCAGCATATGCTTGGCATGATTAAGAAATATTTGCTGTGGTTCGATGGGGCCATCACCCCACATTGCAAGACTAAAACAGATTCTTTACAGACTTTTATGACAATGTGTTCTGCTTATAATTATTGTTTGAAGTGGTTTTATCTGGATCATTACCTCATCCCTTGCTCTGCCCTGTAATGTCTTCCAACTTTCTCTCTGTTCTGCATGCTCCTGACTCATCGATAAGGGAGATACATGTGCATGTATGTAGCTTGTGTTAGGCTTGCCTACATATGGGTTAAGAACATTCTAAAATCATTTCAAAGCTTGCTTGAGTCCTCAGAGGTCAGCATTTGTTCTTATATTATTTCAATAGGTCTACTTCCTGAGCATGGTGCCAGGCATGCCATCAGAATACATGTGTATTTATAGCTGAATAAATGTCTCAGAAAACCCAGTAAGTCCTGCTTTTACCCACATGGAGGCCTTTATTTTTCTGCCCAGGGGCAATAGGTGTTGTCTCAGTGGTTCTATAACAGAAACAAAATATCCTTGAGAAAAGTGCCAGCAAAGCAATTGTCAATACAAAGGTATGAGTCATAACATGCCCTTTGGGGATTCAATTTGTTTTCAAGAAATGTTGGCCCTTGGTTTAAGCTTAGGTTGGTGTTTTCTAAATTGTACTGAAATCAGTTTTCCTTATCTCAGAGTAACAGGGGTCAGGGGTAGTATGAATAAATTCAATCTCCAAATAATGGAGAGGGGACTAATTTTAACCCCAATCCCTACCCTCTTCCTAATGTTTCAGGAGGGCCATGACAAACAATGACACTAAATGGATGGAGTTTTACTCTTTTCTCTCCCCCTTAGTATCTGATGGAATTCCTAATGAGAAAAGAAATCTAACCTCATCATTAGCCTTTAAACACTCACATCCTAAATAGGAATAGGAGACTACCAAGAATCGACTCCTTCAGATTTCTTTTTTTACACAATGTTTTCCTAAAACAAGCAAAGATACCTGTCAGCATCCATTCCCAGGGATATTTGCATAGTGATAGAAGGTGTTGTCTTAAGCACTGAGCATGCCACCTCTGCCAGTCAAAGGACTTAGATGATGGCTTACTGTCTTCAGGAAATATAGTCATTACACATGGGTTACTCCTGGAGGAGATGACCTAGGCATGCTGGTTTTCTGTGGGGCTGAACTGCAGTGCTCTGTGCAGCCCAGTTCCTGGCTTTCTTTCTCAGGCTACAGGACCACTCTTTCTTGGTTAGCTACCTATCAAAAGTTTACCACTCACCTTCCACCTCACATCCATTAGCACTGATGAGGATTTAGAGAAATTGGAACCCTTGCACACTCTTTGTGGGGGGGGGGGAATGTAAAAATGTACAGCTGCTATGGAAAACAGTATGGTGTGTCCTCAAAAAATTAAAAGTAGAATTAACATATGGTATAGCAATTCCACTTTAGGGAATATTCCCCCAAAACTGAGTGCAGGGTCTTGAGGAGATATTTGTATAGCCATACTGATGGCAGCCAAAAGATGGAAGCAACCTAAGCATCCATAGACAAATGGGTAGATAAACAAAATGGGGTATGTATATACATACAATGGAATATTATGCAGCTCTAAAAAGGAAGGAAATTCTAACATATGCTACAACAGAGATGATCATTAAGGACATTATGTTAAGTGAAATAAGCTAGTCACACAAGCACACATACTATATAATTCCACTCATATGAAGTACCTACAATAGTCAGATTCACAAAGACAGAATGTAGAATGGTGGTTGCCAGGGGCTGAAGAGGGAGGGGAATCAGAAGTTTTATTTGACGTGTATAGAATTTCAGTTTTGCAGATGAGAAGAGTTCTGGAAATGGATGGTAGTGATAGTAACACAATAATATGAATGTACTTAATGCCACTAAATTATACACTTAAAAATGGTTAGTATGACCACTTTTGTTATGTGTATTTTGCTATAATTTTTTTTTCAACGTTTATTTATTTTTGGGACAGAGAGAGACAGAGCATGAACAGGGGAGGGGCAGAGAGAGGGAGACATAGAATCGGAAACAGGCTCCAGGCTCTGAGCCATCAGCCCAGAGCCTGACGCGGGGCTCGAACTCATGGACCGCGAGATCGTGACCTGGCTGAAGCCGGACGCTTAACCGACTGAGCCACCCAGACGCCCCTGCTATAATTTTTTTAAAAGACATTTAAAAAAGTTTACCATTCATCCAAAGTAGACCTAGGGAAGTATCAAGGCAGTGTGACTGGTCTAAAAGTCAGTTAACCTGGCATGCATATTACCAATTCCCCCTTCTTATGCCCATGACAAACATTATTAATTAATTATTCCCAAGTTCTTTCCTCCTGAGCCCAGAGGAAACATCATAACCTTTCTCAACACAGGCTACTACACCCAACAATTAGAATTGAGACATCAGCTATGTTGATGTAGGAGAGAACTGTGACGGTCTATGAAATCTGCACTAGAGAAAAAAAAAAAAAATAATATAAAGCCTTGTTAGATAGGAAAAATCAACATGAACTTGATATATTAAGAAAAAATATATTTTTCCTCTGTCTCAAAAAAGTCCCAGTAACTGGAACAGAAGCAGTTCTCTGGGCCCACATTACTACTCATTTGAACCTATATAACTCAGGTTCAGATCTCTATATTTTCTACAAAAAGTAACTAAAAATCTTTGAAGAGGAATTTGTTTTAATCTTGGGATGAGAAAACTCAGTGGGTCTAGAATACCCTGTTGTTGCCAGAGAGCAAAGATACTTTAAAAATACTGGGCATAGTGCTAAAAGGATAAAGGAGGGACAGAGGAACTCCTACAGCCCAAGCGATACCAATTGGAGCATAAAATCACTACCACCACCATCATCATCATCACTGTCATCATCATCTTACATAAATGGAAAAGATTGACATTAAGTGTCAACAAAGGTAGTTGTGATACAAAGGGGAAGTTGTTGGTAATTTTTTGCTGTTAGTAAGTTACAAGGTATTAAATACATAGCTAGTTTTTTTTTAACTTAATATACAGATACTGTTAAACAGGATCTATTATCAAACATGAATGTGAACTTGTTTCTATCTATATGAGCAGCAAAGACTAGGAACCTGTAAATAGGCCAAGCAGTCCCTTCAAAATTAAGAGCTATACCATGAACATGACCAGCTTTTGTGGTCTCATAGCATCCAGAAAGGAATGAGCAAAGTCCATCAGTTCATTGCCACTAATGATTATACATAATAAATAATGAAAGGAGAGCCCAATGGTGTATCTTCAGATGATAAATTAGCTGAATGTCACACCTCCCCTGCCCTCGAGAGACAGCGCAGACCCACTCCCTCATTTCCTAGGGAATAAAACCTCTAGATGACCCTGCTAATGAGACACTGATAGGACAGACATATGTAACATTCCAATTATATCAAAGAGGTCAATATATCATAATGACATAAAAATAGGTTTAAGTCATCTGTTCACAACTTTGGGTATAGACAGTTTCAGAAGATAGATATATTTTCCATGGTATAACTAGCACACTTCATAGTAAAAGGGGCTTGAACTACTGGCCTATACAACCAGATCCTCATCCTGATCTGAAATCAAAGGGTTAACAACTTAGACCTTGCATCCTCATAAGGTCTTTTTCTTTTTCTTTCTTTCTCCGTCCTCTGTGCCCCTTCCCCTGCCCAGGATCTTTTTCTTTAAGGGTGTAGTAAATTCTCTAAAATCCTGGGAAGAAGTAAATTTTGTATCACATACACTTACTAAGGCAGAAAAAAATTGGACCTCAGGAATGTGTAAGAATAACAATAAAAACATAAGTTTTGTAATTATTGGGCTCATTTAATGTGTGCTTTTTGCTTTTAAAGACATTTAGGTTATTTAAGGAAATTTGATATATTGGATTTATGATTTTTAATCAGGTCCTTAAGAGTGTCACATTTCTATCATTGTAAATGATTAAGGAAATATGCTCTGTTAAATGTGTAAATTTTGATTACTTTCTTAAATAAGTAACATTTAGAGGAATGTTAATTATGTTTAAAGAAATATTGCTTAATAAGTTAATAAATCAGATTAGACACTAAACAATGCACAGTGGTCATAAGCATTCCTCTCCAAGCACAAAAGTCCATTGGACAGTTAAGCCCATCAGAAGATAAAACCCATTTGCCATTCTCAGAGACTCAAGGCCATTAAAAAAGATTGCTATTCAGATAAAGATACCATGTGCTGAATCTCTTCTCTACAGATGGTGCTGATTTCACAGATTTGGTGGGGTGTGCATTTTTGATCAACCTGTGCGGTGAAATTTTTTGCTTCCCCCACTTTCATTGCCAACTTAGAGCTGTTAATTCCGTACCTTTTGGCTCATCCGTCTTTCCTCTTGGGTTATCAGCTTTTGTGGAATCTTTCAAGGCTCCATATTCCTTTTCCATCTTAGCTGCTTCTTCCTTAGTACTATCTGTTTCTTCATGACTCTTTTCTGATGGTGCTGTAATCAGATTGAGCACTGTTGTTAGAACCCTATTTCCTATCCATTAACCAATTTGTAATGTAGAAATAAATTTGTTGAAAGGGTACAGCGTAAGGTCGGATCATTTTTCAAGCTGAAAGCGATCTTAGTGATTGTCTAATCTAGTGATTGTCCAACTTCCTTCCCCCATTTCACAGACGAGGAAACTGAGGCCCAGAATGGGAGAGATATGCACCGAGTTAGCAAAAGAGCTGGGCCAAAGCGCCGACTTTCCAGATTTTGGTTTAGTGTTCTTTCCCTTCTGCTACTGTGTCATTAGAACATAGATTATTTTCCTTACTATAATCAAGGTAGGCAATGACGTGGCATATGTCAGTTCCCAAAGTAAGTTTGAGTCTTCATTTCGAAGTAAAATAACTTGGTTGTTGTTCAACCTCTCCATGATGTTGTATTTTTGAACAACATTCTATGACTGAGAGTAGCACCTAAGAATTTGGGGCTATCGCAGGACTTCTTTCCTTCTGCCTCTTTCTTCACATTCCCTTATCCCTGGTCACCCTAATGCAAAGAGGAGAGTTGGACCCTTGCTGTCAAGATGGGATAATCTTTGCTCACTTGACACTTAAAAATAACTAATTTCCATATCAATTATACTTCAAAAAAAAAAGTGAGGGGACAAGAGTTGAAAAAAAATTTATTTCCTTCTGGCTATCTTCTATTGAATTTTAAAAAGTCATAAACCTTAAAGTAGCTAACCACTTGAAAACAATTGCAATGTATCCCTGTTGTAAATAAAATAGGAAACATCAAGCAGTCTAACAAAAAGCTTTGTTTTTTTTCAGTAAAAACATTATTACTATAGAAAAAAAAAGAAAAAAGAAATGAGTCAGTTACTCTCATTATGAAAACCTCCACTAGTGCTACGATCTCTCTGTATTAAAATTTTTTTTTTAATATTTTATTTATTTTTGAGCATCAGAGTGTGAGTGGGGGAGAGACCAAGAGAGAGAGGGGAACAGAAGATCTGAAACAGGCTCTGTACTGACAGCAGCAAGCCTGATGCGGGGCTCAAACTCACAAACTGTGAGATCATGACCTGAGCTGATGTCAGACGCTCAACCGACTGAGCCACCCAGGCGCCCCTCTCTATATTTTTTGATGCGTAATTTTTCTCCATAGTTGCAGTATAATTTTGTCACTTTCTTTTGTCATTAACATCGTCACAGAAGGATGTTTCCAGGTTATTGAAAACTACTTGAAAATATCATTTTAAAAGGCTATATAGTATTCCATCAAATATATGTACACAACTGCTTGAAAGGGACACAAAATCGTGCTTAAGAACTTGTGATCCTTCCTCTTTTTGTTCCTCCCTCCCCCCCTCAAAGCAGGCTCCTTTGCACAGCTTGGTTCTGTGTTGTATTGGGTGGAAATGCAGAAGTGAAGAAACCAAGAGGGGGAATCACACAACATAGGGGCATAGACTATCTCAGAGGAGAGAAAAGACTTGGGAGGGGGAGCCAGTGGAGTAGACAGGTGACCAGGGATAGTGGTCTGGAGAAACTGTGCTCTTGGGAGAGAAAAAAATACTGAAAGGAAAATTTCATGTATGTAGAAAATTTCATGATGTAGTTCCTCCTTTTCCCATGAGCCACCTCCTAAGAATCTTCAGGAAAGACCTACATTTCTTTTCAATGCTTTTTGGGGTCAGATTTCTATGCTGAGACTAGCCACAAAATAGCCAAGGTTATAGCTACTTAATCCTATGGTAGGATTTCAGATTTTAAAACTTTTGAAATCTCTAATTATTTATCAATGTTTATTAAAGCCATTATTTACCACTCAAAGGGTTATTGTGCTCAAAGGTAGAAAAATAGTTATATAAATCATACCTGGAAAAAGTTTGCTCTTATTGTCAGTAACATTTTTTTCTAGCTTGTTCTTGGTCTGAAGAGCAATAGTTTCATCCAAGTTTTCTGGAGTGAGGAAGAGAAAAAATATAATTTTATTTTCTGAAGGATGATATCAACTGTTTAATCCTTACCAGAAATATCACAACGTAATTCCACAATATTAATACTGCAATTAAGATACTTTGATATGGATTTTATTTCTAGGAATTTACTATTCCGTACTATTTGGGATCCTTAATTCAGCCTCCTATTCAGTTAATTGCAGAAGCCTCTTCCACATGTCTGTGGCCACTGCTAGAACATGTCCAGGGTTGAAGCCTTTAATGGACACCTGTGGTCTGGGCCTCCTCAACACTTTCTGTAACTATACCTTGGTTTTCCTTTATTCCCATTCTCGACATATTTGCCTCAAGTGGGGAGTAATAACCCAGGCCTGGTTCCTCAGGGTCTACACCCACCCTGGGCTGAGTGATTGGTTCAAAGAGGAGCATGTGATACAAGCCAGGCCAATGAGATTCAATGCTAGGACCACTGGGAGAAAGAAGCTCTTTTCCTGCCAGGAGTGCTGTACTGTGAGGATGGAGATTGCCAACCATCTTTTTTTTTCATAGGGGAGCAGCTTGTCTAGAATGAATCAACATATGGAAAGTCAGTGCTGGGAGATGGGGAGGGATAGATTCCTAACACTGTTGGTGGACTTTACAAACGCAAAGTCAGACTATCCCCATCCCTGGACTCCTCAGTTACTTGAGGCAATGAATTCCCTTCCCACTGCCATACTGGAAAGCACAGCTATAAGTAGTAGTGGAAATATCTACCTTGTACCTAAGCCTTGTGGCATTTCTAATCTATTTCCATAGGATAAATGACTTAAGTATGGAATTTCTGAGTTACAGGGTATTGGTATGAAGCAATGATTGATCTGAAACAATGTCTTTGATCTACTGTTGAATTAAATAGGCCACAAAGTACTATGTATAACATGAGCCCATTTTTTTTTTTTAAAGATAAAACAAAGAAAGAAATGACAAAGGTACATGGGTGCACATACACACACATACACACACAGAAAAACATCTGAACAGGTACAAATAGACTGTCACCTGGGTGCTGGTATCATGAGTGACTTTTTTTTACTTCTTTTTTAACATAATTTTTCACTGACTGATTTTTTTAAATGAATATGTTCTTTTATAATGAGAAAAAAACAGTAAAACTATCTTCATGTGGAAAAAAAATTGAGTTCATAGAGAGTAATTCTGAATTATTTTGCCCTATGAGATTTTCTCTTCTGTTCAATCTTCCTCTTCTATCAGAGATCAGAGTAAGGGGCTATGAGGTCACCTTCCCCAAAGGACATCAGAGATAAATGGTACTTATTGGTTAACTAGACCAAGCAGGAAAACCAAAGGCTTTAAAAAACAAAACAAAACAAAACAAAACAACCTGCATGCACAAAGAACATCCAAGCTTATGCACAAAGCTCAAAGAATCAAAGGTCAGCAAACTTTTTCTCCAAAGGGCCAGATGGTAAATATTTCTGGCTTTGTGGGCCATATCGTCTCTGTTGCAACTACTCAACTCTGCCATTGTAGCACAAAAGCAGCCATAGACAACACTGAAACAAAGGAATGTGGCTGTGTGCCAATAAAACTTCATTTATGGACACTAAAGTGTGAATTTTATATAGTTTTCTCTTTTTTTAATTAAAAAAATACTGTATTTGTTTAAGTAATCTTTACACCCTATGTGGGGCTCGAACTCACAACCCCAAGATCAAGAGTCTCACACTCTACTGACTGAGCCAGCCAGGTGCCCCTTTATATAGTTTTCTAGTGTCACGAACTACTATTCTTTTTTTATATTTTTTTCAACCATTTAAAAACGTAAAAGTAATTCTTAACTGGTGTGCTATAGAAAAATAGGCAATGGGCCAGATTTGATCCATGGGCAGTAGTTTACCAGCCCCATTATAGTTCACAACATCCTTTATTTTACAAATGTAGAAACTGAGGCCCAGCTGGGTGAGTGCCTTGCCCCATGGGACAAAACTGGTCTGTGGCAGAACTGGACCAGGAGGCACAACTTCTGCAGCCTAATCCAGACCTCACTGGCTAAAATCAACTCTTTTAGTCCTGACTATCCAAAAACAATTGAAAAAAAAGAGGTCAAATTTTAATAAAATGGTCTCCATGGAGATATTAGAAAATGTTAATAAGACAAAATGAAATGTTTATACTCAAGCTGCTTCTATAAAGAATTGAAAACTCCTGGTTAATTTTATTTGTATGCATTATCAAGCTGGGCAATTCTGGTTACTCAGACAATTCAGACTGTTTTGGCATGAATGATAAAATTTGTGAAGTAGTTATTGCCAAATCCCTAATTGACTTTGGACAGTGAAAACTATCATAGTAAAAACAAAACAGATTGGACTCTCACCAAGGTAGGAAACACCTTCTTCTGGAGATATTGTGCCATACTTTACCATCATCTTCACAAAGTCAATCAAGGTTTTCATGATCGTAATCAGCGTTTCTTTCTCTTTCGCCTCTTTTTCTATATAAAAGGACAAAATAATTTTTAAAAAACTAGTGGAGTATAGCTTCCTCTTTCAGTGTCAATTTATGAAGTACAGCATCTGATTGAAATATTTCTCCCTACATTTATAGCTGAAACCACATATATTTAATTTATAAAAAGTGTAATAAGACTTGGGCATTGGGAGTTGGAATTGGGAATATAGGATAATGTATAGATGTACTGAACTTCTTCAGAAATGGGCAATTATAACTTTTCTAAAAAGATTTACTTTAATCTAAAATATTTTACTAATAGATGATAAAGAGACAGTTTGCAACCTGAGGTAATATGAACTCAAAAAGAAAATTGTAAGATTGGTGACCCACCAATTTTTCTTTACTCAGGCTGTATGTTTTTGAGGGCAAGAATGGCCTGTTTTCATTAATCAAACTTAATATTTGAAAATAAAAACATACATGTATCTTTATTTATTTAATGTGAGGTTGACTTTTTAATAGCAGTATATATTGCTTTCTAGACTTTATTTCATTTGAAAGAATATATGCATGTACTAAAAATATTCCAACAGTATAGAAGTAAATAATAGTGAAAATAACATTTTCTTCCTATCCCCCAACTCCTACTCCCTGCAGGTAACCACTATTAACTGTTTCTTGGGAACTCTTCATATTTGACATACTGTTCTGCATCTTGATAGAAAACGGCTGATCATTCCATAGTTGTTCAGAATATATAACTATGTATATTTATTATATACATCTACATATATATACATACACATATATGTGTATGTGTATATATATACATATATATATATATAAATTCTAAAATTAAAAAAAAATTCCATTTTTGAAGAAAGGTGCTAGAGGAGAGCCCATTTTCCCTATTCTTTGAGTGGTCATGAAGGATTTCTTCTAAATACTCCTAGCCTTTCCCTCCATCTTTCCATCCTTCCCACAGATGAAGTTGGTAGGCAATGCGCATTAGTCTACATTTCTTGACTGATAGGGATTTGGAATCTTTCTTTTTTTTGTTCCCCTGGAACAGTAGAAGTCAGGGACTTGAGAAAAGTGCCTGTTCTATAAATCAAACTATCCTAAGGATTGGCTGTTCCAACAATTAGACTGAGGATAGGGAGTGAGCAAGCCCATTTTGGCTCTCACACTATGCTGTGTTCTACAACCCTTACAACCCAGTCTTTACCAGTATCAGAAATATTTTGGATTTCGACCTGTTTTATTTTTTCTCCATTGGTTCAGACCTTGGGTGAGAGGGATGAGTACTATCAAGTACCTTAGTGTAAGTATTTAAATTAAAACCCTATAAATATAAAAGAAATAAAGTATGAGGTCAAGGAAACTGAAAGATAAAATAAAATAAATAAAACAAATAAAAAAATATTCCATACAGTGGACTTTTTCAAATATCATGAAATCCTCAAGGTTGGGAGAGAAGAAAGATGAGAAAGGAGATAGGGAAGAGATCCTGGGAAAGCACTAGTAAATAACTTCAGCCATCACATTATTTCCTCAAGGTCACATCTGTATAGGTGTTCGGTGTCATGCTGACACTGACAAGAAGTGACTCACCAAGATGACAAAAGTTCTGAGCTGGGCATTTGCCATCCAGTGGGGCAAGATGGCTCAAAATGGACCCTCAAGATATACAAGCCCTTCAGACACCAGCAGAGGGGCTGATGCCATCTGGCCAATGTCTGGAATTGAAGGACAAATGGGTGTTCTCCAGAAATGAAAGCACACTCTAAAGTCACTTCTTGCGGAAATATTTATTACAAATTTTCCTTCTGGGGCTGAATCTTTGAAAAGGAAGAGGAAAAACCAGAAGGCAGTGCAGAACATCTGTCTGGACAATAACAACCATAGAAAATTTGCCCATTATTATCTTCCTTGAAGATTAATCAAAATTGGAGATGAAATGAAATCTTCAGTTAACTTATTTTGATGTACAGGTAAGAGAAAGGAACAAGGCAAAATAAGGACTTAGTTTTTTAAAAAACATATCCGTTTCTAAGTGTGTTTTGGACCCCTGTCTGCTGTGGTCCAATGCTTAGTTTACTTTAACTCATTTCAAGACTGAAGCTGAAAGTGTCTAAAAAGCAAAAATCTGAATTGTTTTTAAAAGGACAAATTATGGGGGCACCTGGGTGGCCCTGTTGGCTAAATGTCCGACTTCGGCTCAGGTCATGATCTCATGGCTTGTGGGTTTGGGCCCTGCATCGGGCTCTGGGCTGATAGCTCAGATCCTGGAGCCTGTTTCGATTCTGTGTCTCCCTCTCTCTGCCCCTCTCCTGTTCACACTCTGTCTCTGTCTCTCTCAAAAATAAATAAACATAAAAAAATAATAAAATAAAATAAAATAAAAGGATAAATTATGTTATACACACTGTTCCCACTAATAGAGGAAAATAAATGTAGCCTTTTTTTTGTTTTTTAAAGATTTACAATAAGATTTGAGGCTGAGCAGGTCAGGCAGGGATGTTGACTTCTCTCCTCATCTGCACAGGGCTCACCTCAATGTCCCAAACATGTTCAGTGACTGTTTGCTGAACAAATAAATGAACCCTCTGTTAACAAGAAGATTAAATTATCCTGAAATTCCACCTTCCATGATTATCCTTTCCTAAATATTTCTATGACTAGCATACTTCTTTTGAAAAAAATTGATGTGAACTCTTTTCCCTGGGGTTACAATAAATTTCATTGAAGATTGCATTTAGAAACTGAAAACAGGAAGAAAAAAACCCCACCCACACATTTCCTGGAATTATTGTTTCTATTCCACATGGTCAGAAAACAGTGTTTACCTGAATCAATACTTTTCAGTAGTGCATAGAAGTTTGGGAAATATTGGAGTTCCTCAAAGTTGTCTTCATTGTAGATTTTAGTTCTTCTTTCCAAGCCATTTGTCAAGGTTAAGGTATTAGATACTGTTTCATCATTTTGTCCATTAGTAAAACCATCTTGAATTGCTGCCATTGGAGTCTACATTGGGGGAAAAAATCAATAAAAAATAAACATTTTGTTAGAGCTAATTACATTCCAGCTTGATTCTTTCCTCTTTGGTGCCCTTGAATGTGACGTGAAATAACACCTCTTCCTTTGCAAGCTCCTGTAGGATCAAACCCTTTTCCAGGTATATGGGCATCTAGCCACATAGAAAGGTCACTGGGGCTGACAGACATATGCTTCACCTGAGGACCCTGGCTCCTGCTCCTGGAGAATAGACAGGGAATTTCTAGGTTCCCACTTGGCCAAGTTCTCCTCTATCAGTTCTTGTGAATGTCTTCCCATAAGACTGCCTTTTACCAAGCAGGAGAACTTCGAAGTTACAGAATGTGTGGTGCCAAGATACAGGAAATCATGTGAGAACATCTAACACCAACAGAGCAGTCACACCTTGGGGACTTCTCCGTGAAATGTTAAGAGCTATCTGGAAGGGTACACAGGACACTTCTCTCCCAGACCTGATCCATTTCCAGTGTTCTGCATCTTAGTTAATGATCCATTGTCCATTCAGCGGACTAAACAGAAATTTAAGAGTCTTCCTTGTCACTCCCTCTTCATTTCCTCCATATAATTCATCAGTAGTCTTGTTGGCTCTACTTTCAAGATTTATCCCAAATTTGTACATTTCTCTCTTTCTCCATTACCTGGCTCTAGTCCAAGCTGCTTTCATCTCTGACTTTCTAACCATGTAACATCAAGCACTTCCAATCTATTCACTGTATTTTCCACGTTATAGCCAGAGTTATCTTTTAAAAAGTATGGTCACATAACTCCTTTGCTTAAAATCCTGCAGTGTTTTCCCATTGGTCCTACAATGAAGATCAGAATCCAAGGCCCTGCCTGGTCTGGCCTGGGTCCACCTCCCCTGGCTTATCTCTCACTGCTCTCTCTGTGTGCAGCCACCCTGCCCTTGTTGCAATACTTAGATACTCCACACATTCTTCTCTACACACGGCCTCTCATGGTCACAGCCTTCAGTTTTTGGCTCAAGTCACTTCCTCAGGGAAGCCTTCTCTGAGCCTAAGTCCAGAATAGGCTCCCTTTTTATGAAGTCTCATAGAACCATGTTTCTTTCCTCATAGCCCTTGAGGCAGTTGCAGTGAAAATATGTGAGTATTTGAAGACCATCTACTTCTTCCATTAGACCTTAAGCTTCGTGAAAGCAGGGATTCTATCTTTTGAAATAAGCATTGTATCTCCAGTGCTTTGTTCATAATTGATACCTCAATAAATATTTATTGAATGAATTAATATTTCATTTGCATCGATGCATTTAAATGACATGAGCAAACAGGTCAAGCATATGAATGTTTTAGAGATGGGTGAAAAAGGAGTACAAAATGGGAATGAAGGAAAATACAGTAGCTGTGTCACTTTCAGTTCAGATGGTAAGCTTGAGTGAATGTCATGAGCCCTTTGATAAATCAAAAATGTTTTGGGTGGATCTTCAAAAGCTGTTTAAAAAAATGAAAGCTGGTGGAGATTAGAAGTAGAGAGAGCAAAAGAGAGCTGCTATGCTATCTAGTAAAAAAAATGCAGACCCAATTTCTGTTTTCTAGCCTCCTCTAAAAGAGGATTGTAAGCCTATACACTCTTTTTCCTTGTATTTGGGATAAGACATTGGAGGGGATGAGGAGCCATGGGTCTAAATGCTGTGATGGAGAAAATAGGAGAGGTGAAGAGTTTGATTTTTTTCTTATATATAACCCTCTGTGGTCAGCTCATCTAGAGTTTTACAGGGAATTCAAAGAGCGGAGAAAGATTTTTGTAGCTTGGCTGATGCAGAAGAAAAGATGAAGAGGCACAGAGTCCAGGGAGGGGAAGGAAGGATGGATGACTAGTCTAAGTAAAGGACAGTTCCAGGCCTCTGAACCAAAGAAAAGAGGAACGAGCAGGTGGAAGAGCACAGGATAGAATGGCAAAGCATATTCAGGCAACTAGCTCCGGGGAGTATACAGGCTGGTGTGGCAGAGGACCAAATCAACCCAAGTTTCTGTTTTTGGGATCTGGAGGCAGATGATGACATTCTGTGAACAGAAGTTGTATACCGAAAGAGCTGCGAAATATTTGATTTCAGTTCACTGACATTATACAAGCAGTTGTTCTGTGGAATGGTTATAACATTGCCACATAGCATTATGGATTAATTTACTGTGGAGTATAAGACATAACCTTTACTGTGTAATACAATATAACCTGTATCTTCATTTTCTTCTTTTTTTTTTTTTTGAGATATTTAAAAAAATTTTTTTAACATTTATTTATTTTTGAGACAGAGAGAGACAGAGCATGAATGGGGGAGGGTCAGAGAGAGGGAGACACAGAATCGGAAACGGGCTCCAGGCTCTGAGCTGTCAGCACAGATCCCGACGCGGGGCTCGAACTCACGGACCGCGAGATCGTGACCTGAGCTGAAGTCGGCCGCTTAACCAACTGTGCCACCCAGGCGCCCCTCTATCTTCATTTTCAACATAGAGTTGATTTATATATTTTAACTTGATATTTTGTGAGTATATATTTTAGGTGGGTTAAATGTGTCACATACTCCAAATCTTCTCTGGCACCAAGTGAGGTATTACTTATATACAGATTGTATTAATTATATACAAATACAGGTGGACACATACATTCATGCACATGCATATATATACATATCCATAACATATGCATATGAATTCACATATACATACCACTTTCTCTGGTATTTTTCCAGTCTGACTTTCAGTCACGCTTATGGGTTTATTGGGTTCCTCCTCATAAGTGTTGGCTTCCTTTGAGATCAGTTTTTGTAAAACCTCTGCTACTTCATCTTCTAGTGTGTGTGCCTGGCTTTCTGTGATCTGTTAAAAAGTAAAAACATATGTAACTATTATTCTCATATTTATGATTAAAAAATCTAGACTAAATTCTGAACTTGAACACATTTTTACACAATGAGAGAATCTTCTGGTCCCTCTTTCTAGATAGCCCTTGAGGCAGATAGCCCTTTCTAGATAGCCCTTGTTTATGCCTCTGTTTGTTGTTGGACATTCCCCAGAACTCCTGGGGAAAAGTGCCTTTGGGCCATGCAAGTGATTAGTCCTGTCTGTTGGAATCTATGGAACACTTATTTCTCAACCGTCAGCTACAAGTCATGACTAGGGAACCTCTGAAACAGGCACATTTAGGACCTTAGTAAAGCCTGTCAGGGCTGTATAAGGGCTGGGAGCCTGGCTGGGAGAGGATCAAATTGAATTGCTTACAGTTTCCCAAACATGGCATGCCTTTGTTCCTGTTATTCTCTTCTCATAATTCACGTATATTTTGCTGCTGCTGGTTAAATCCTAATGATCCTTTTTTTTAATGTTTTATTTATTTTTGAGAGAGAGGGAGCACAAGTAGGGGAAGGGCAGAGAGAGTGGAAGACAGAGGGTCTGAAGTGAGCTCCATGCTTATCAGTAGGGAGCCTGATGCGGGGCTCGATACCATGAACCATGAGATCATGACTGGAGCTGAAGTCAGTTGCTCAATTGACTGAGCCACCCAGGAGCTGCCTAACTGTTTTAAGCTGACTTTAAACACTTCCTTCTCTGAAGTTCTTCTTTATTGCCCAATTGGATATGGTCCATCCTCTGGCATGCTGAACTGCTTTTATGGTTTTGATGCAGCTTGCATTGTGGACATGTGCGTATTTGTGTGGCTCTTCTGGTAGACTATAAGTTCCTAGAGGGAAAGAATGTTGTCATATTTGTCCTCAAAACCTACAGTGCCTAATATAAAGTAGATGTATTATAAACACTTGGCTACAACTTGGATCATGTGGCTTGGCTTCTTAGTAAATTCCAAACTGTACTAAGAAATGGGTTTATTCTCATGCATGACTTACTAGTCCAAGATTCAACAGTTTAGAAACAATCTTGTCAAATACTCCTCTGTCATTTTCCTCATAAATCCTGGTAGCAATTTTCTGGACAATGTCTTCAGCAGTTAAAGGAGTTCCATCTAGTTGATGAAGGCCATCTGGATCATCTAGACAGAGCAATCACAGTTTCACATTATAGTTATCATAGGCCTATTTCAGGATCATACTATACTTACAATCTATACCTTGTTCTTGTACACTTAGATATATTTGGAATGTATTTATGATACTGCTTCGTTCACATAAATTGTTGGTTTGAAATATAATTTTGCTTAAAGTTAAGAACCTATGATGATAATGGAAATTCTGAAATCTTCTTATGTGGCTGTAAGAAAAAGGAAGATCTGAAGACACCACAAAAGGCCTCTCTATTTTTTATTCTAATAATACAAACAAGATTATACTTTTAAATTTTACAGTATGCCACATTTGTATAGTATGCTATATTGTTCAAAACACTCTTCTACATATTATATAATTTGATATTCCATTTCCACACAAGGAGTAGACTGGTAACATCCACATGTGTATTTCTTCTGCTGGCAAATTCCTGGGCTGATGGTGGGGGAACCTGCCTCACACCCAGAATCAGAGAGGGTGTATTAAAGATTTTATGACTTATCTGGAATAAATATTTACTTCTAACTGAACATGTGTCAGAACTCCTTTATGGAAGACAGCTTAATGTGATAAGCCCCTTACTCCAGAGAATAGGGAACTTACTTTATGTGTATGAAATTTAAACTTTTAAAATGAGACAACAGATTTGAACAAAGCAATATGTAAATCTATGTAAATCTCTGCAGAGATGTTTGCAAATGCGTATCCTTAGCTTTCCTGGAAATACACCAGCAACATTACTTTAGAGTACAGCAAGAGCCCATCCTGAGGAAGGACACAGTAGGGTTGGTGGCATATCCGAGAGAACTCTTGGGGAATCCGTTTGTCTTTTGTAACCTACACCACATCAAGCAATATGTTAATATGTGCAAGTTTACAAGGCACTTAACTCCTCCTGTCACCTCTAGCAGATCTGAAAGATCAGAATTTTAACCCATGATACCACTGTTACCTCTATATCCTTGGATGACTGTAAAGGGAGATAATAGGATTATCTGTTTCATGGGATTCTTATGCAGATCAGATGAAATAAGATGTAAATGTTCCTTTTAAACTGCCAAGTACCATATGAAAGCTAATGTGCAGTATTATATGAAAGCTAAATGTCATTATATATAGTGGATTTGTACATGAAAAAAAGGAACTACGATTATCTTCTAGAGACATGGAAATTGAGTCTCTGGTCAAATTCCGCCCCAATAATTCTGATCATATTTACTCAAAGAAAGAAGAGCCTAATATTTCTAATCTGATCCTGTCCTTTTCTTCCATGGCTTTGGGGATTCAGACAAGGAGTTTCTCTCATGACCTTTCTTCTAGAATCTATACACCTGAAGATATATGCTGCCTTAGGCAGAACAGTTTCTTGTTGTTTGAAAAGAAGCTTAGGAAACTGAGTAGGGTGATTATAGACAGAGAACTGGAAGTTTCCTGGTAGTAGATTATTGCTGAACTGTCAACCAATCCATTAGCTATGAGCCCTTTGAGCCCTGTGTACCAGAGTGACGAATAAGCAGAAAAGACCCTAAGAAAAAAAACCTCGTAAGATCAGTTCCCCTCCAGACTGACTGAAAATTGGGTTCATTATCCATTTTTTTCAGGAGCAGAGATTATTATTTAGGTCTGATGCTTCCATTTGTGGGTTGTAAGACTGACTCTAGGGATTAATGTGAAGCAGAAACTGCCCAAGGTCTATGCAGAGGTGGAAAAATTTATTTCCCTTCCCACTTAATCCCTTAGGATCTGAAAAAAAGGAAGCATACTGTTTGCCTGCTGGAGCTGGAAAATAACTGAGATGACTGTTTTTCAGTTCATTTACTTCATAACAGGGAGAACATAAGCAACACTCTGAAGAAACAGCCTCTTCACTTTGCTGCACTGCTGCATTCTCTTGAGCCAGGAACTTAGGACTCCACTAGCAGACCTTTGCTAGATGGGGTTAAGAGTTGACCACTTGGTCATTGCTCTTTACTTTCCATTGATTTTCCCTGGCTTCTCTAAAATGGACAGAATTACTCAGAGTGACTTCTTTTTTCTCATCAAGGAGTATTTTACCCTCCTACATATATCCTCAGAGGGAAGCCAAACATGAGTTCAATGTTCATAACTTTTTTTAAAGCAGCTGCAACATCCTAAGTGGGTGTGAAAGGGCCATCTTCCAAGTCATCATCTTCCCAGTTACTCTTTGAATCCTTGGCATCTATTATGGCACTTGACATTCATTTGTCCAGTACATTTTTATTAAAGTCTTAATATGGGCCAGAACTGGAAACACACTGATAAATAGTTTAGGCATGATACCTAACTACACAGAGCTAACTGTCTAGTTCAAGTCTGAAACATAGCAATTGCTCAATGAATGTCTGTTTGGTGAATGCACTCAGGAGCCCTGAAACACTGCTTTATAAAAGAAATTTGGAAAAATCCTGAATCACATATACTATAGAAAACATAGAAAAGGAGAAGTGATGGGCCCTACAAGCCCATCTGGAGGTTTCCTAAAAGTGTGAAAGTACCCTGCAGAAGTTCGGCTTCCTTACTCTCCCTTCTAGGATGTAACTCTACATGCCTCTGAGGTTCCAGTTAACTTGGTGTTCCCAAACCCACCTGGTTCCAGGATTCCCAAGGTATGAGTGGAGACCAGTAATTCACTCATAGAGCCCACTCTCTCCAACAATCTTCTCTGTAATTTCAGGTGGACTTGAATGACTCCTAGGGTAAACCTAGAGCTGTCAGGGCTAGTACTTCGTAGTTATAAACCCATTTGGGATGGTAATAAAATGTTGAACTATTTAAAATAAGTTACTCAGGTTAGTGGTTGGATCACAAACAGATCTATGCCTCTTACTGCATATACAACCAGTTTGACAAAAAAAAAAAAAAAAAAAAAAAAAAAAATGTAGTCAAACATTAGACTAATTAAAAAATTTTTTTAAATCAAATGGTCAGTTCAGTCAAAGTGGTTGAAACTATTTTATATGAAGCTATACCCAGTGTCTATTTCTAGTCTAAATATTTTAGGTTAAAAGTAGAATTCACAAGAAATTTCCTTGAGTAGTATGCTATATGAAATTTTTCAAAATATAAACCATCTCCCTTATCCCATTCATATACAACACACTTCTGAATTTTCCTCAGCCTGTGATATCCAATGAAAGTCAAATTTAATTGATAGTTGTGTTCTGGTGGAGATAACCAGCATAATGCTCTTGTGACCATGGAACAGAATAAGGACATTAAAGAAAATCTGTAGTCACTCTTAAGCAGTGGTCCTCAGCACAGAAAACACACTCTCTTCATCAATGCTTAGGTACAATAGTTCGCTTATTCCCTTGTATATATTATTTTATTTGTTCATTCATTCATTTACTCATCTATTCATGCAGTGAATTCGTAAGCATTCAGACACTGGAGCTACAATGTTTCTGTACTAGTGAAATTTTCAGTTTAATTAAGGAGAAAGGCAGAAATCATAAGTAGATGCACTTAGGAATGTAAAATTACAAATTGCATTAAGTGTCACGTGTGAAAGGAACAGGTTTCTATCAGATTATGTGTATTGGATGAACACAGGAACCTGTCCTTGCAGGACCATGGAGGCCACATTAAGGCTTTTGGTTTTTATCCCAAAAGAAATGGGAATCTACTAATGGGTTTTATGCAAGAGTGTCAAGCTCATACTTGTATGTTGAAAAGATTACTCTGGCTGCTGTGAGTTGGAGAAGGGCAGAGTGGATGCTGGAAGGTCCATTAGAAGATTTTGCTGTAGTTCAAATGAGACATGATTAGACTTTGGATAAGGTGATCAAGGATGGTGATCTTGGTGGTGATCAAGGTTAGAGGGATAAAACCCTACTATATATATTATATAATATATATACATTATATAATATAGATCATTTATATGTATGATATGTATGGTGTGTGTGTGTGTGTGTGTGTGTGTGTGTGTGTGTGTGTGTGTGTGTGTGTGTGTGTGTGTGTGTGTGTGTAAAGTACTGGTTGCCCGCTGGAGCTGGAAAACAACTGAGATGACTGTTTTTCAGTCATATATGCAGTATATGAAGTCTGATATATACATACATATATGAAGTCTGGGCTAATGTTAGGAGACATCAGGCTATGGATGGTAATTAAGGCCATGAAAAGGTTAGAATGACCTATGGAGAAAGATATGACTAGGAAGAGAACATTGAGAAAAAAATAATGATATTTCACCTTTTCTGGGGAATATTTTTTGATTTAATTAGTTGAGAATTAAAGATTTTTTTCTTTGTACTCATAGTTAAAATAAATTGGAATGTTAAAATGAATTTAATAGCATAAAATATAGACAGCAGATTGAAGTTGATTTCAAAGCATCAGTAAAGGAAACTTAAAAAGAGAAACTAAAATTTGGGCTTCTGTAGAGCTTAGGCCTCACAGAAAAAACTGGGCTTTCTCTTCATTTTGGTCCTGACTAATAAAGGACAATGAATGTATAATGGCTGTTTTTAAAACGTAGGACTTTCTCCTAACCCACAATGGGAAACTCCAAATTAGAGCAAGCAAATAGGAAGAAAAAGTTCTTTTTCCTCATTTACCTTGAAATTTATGATTCAATCCGCTCTTAGTAGAATCATAATCATCAATCAGTCTTCGATTCTTGGTTGAATCGACATCTTCCACATTCAATTTATTATCATCTGGGGAGCTTCTTATGGATTGTCTTTCTTTCTCAATTTTTTCCTTTTCTGTTATTGCCTTTAGCAGGTTCAAGTTATCAACAAAGGAGTAATTGCTTTCACCTGGCTTGTTTTCTGGAAGAAAAGCCCCCAAGCCCAACACATCCATTTTAGTTAAGATTTTCACAACCTACATTATTTAAATTAATATCAACATAATTTCTTTTTACCTGGAGGGTATGTTTTTTTAATCTTGTCTGCCTCTGCTTCAGCAATCTAGGAAGTAAATTGGAGATAGACCTGATTTTAAATCATTGCTCCCCCACTTATCCAATATGACAGCTAAATGATTCAATCTCTGTGGGATTTAGTTTTCTTATTTGAAAATGTAGATAATAATTTCTGTGTCAAAGCACTACCATAAGGATTAAGTGAGATAAAATAAAGGGCAGATGGTCTATAAATATTAATTCCCTCTCCTATAATATTGGTGAGAGATAAATCTCGGATAAATTAAGCAGCCTTAGAATAGAATGGATGTGATGTTGAGCTTACTGGGTTATTATACAGTCAGTCTTATGTATTATACAGAATTCTATGTATATAACTGTCAGGATATACAAATTTCCAAAACTATATTTTCCATCCTAAGTTCTGTCAATGTATTATTAAGCTCTTGAAATTTGTGAATTCAAAATAGCTAAAATGTTACAGCATAATTACATTAAATATAACTAAAATAAAATGAAATAGCATTGATAATTTTACTTTTGACCTACCTGTTCATTCAAAGGTCTTTCTGCACTTAATTCGCTATTATGTAGAGGTTTGTCTAGAATCACCAAACACAAATATAAATTTAATTTTGCACTGGAAAGACACACTATGTCTCTTACTACATAAAATCTCCAAAAAAGAAAAACAAATATTAAGATAAATGTTTTTGGATGACTGTGGAACAAAAATATGTATTAACAAAGAAAGATAATCAAGATTATACAATAACAATCTTTATCAACGTTGCCTTGTTTATTATCCTGGTGTACTTACTGAGTTAATAAAATTGCACTTTTATTTTTCTGTCCAGAAATCTAACATATAGTTCTAACACTTGGCTCACCAGCTGTTTTCAACTAGATAGAGCATAATTTGGATTGGCATTATTAGCACATTAAAAGCTCTTTTATCATATACTGCACATATCATGAATAAAGTATCGGAGAAAGGTTATAAGACAACTAGAAAAAAAAATAGACAAAAAACAGGCCACTTTGTAAGGCAGAAAAATCATCCCCCAGCCCCGTTTCAGAATAAGGTATTTCAAAACAACCCATGTTATTACTCTATCATTCAAAAAGTGTAGGGGAAAAAAAAATCTGTCTTCCTGCTCTAAATTCGAACTGATTTCTGTCAACATGCACGGATACTGTCTGATCAGAAAACGAGGCAAGGTGATTTACAGTTCACGGGATTATGCCAAGCTTTACCTTTCCGTGGCGAAATAAAAGGGAGATGGGAAGAAAAGTGTCCACGTACCTTGGCTGCCTCCCGGCTTGGGGAAAGCTTGAATTGGGCTGCTTTGGAGCACCAACACCAGAATCCAAGTGCCGGTCCAAAGAAACCCCATTCTTCTACGCTTGGCTTCAGATACAGCCTGGCGCCGGGCTCCCTGAGCTGTGGCTTTTGTTATGAATGAAAAGAAGGAGTAAAAACAGGAAGAGCTAGGAGGGAGGGTGTGGGGAGGGTGAGTGGCAGGGACCCAGCGGCCGGTGGAGCTCCGCGCGGCTGCAGAGTAAAGCGATTAGAAAGGCTCCAGGCGCTCGGGAGTCAGGTCCTCAGGTGGAGGAGAGCGCTGTCCGCCGTGTGGGTGCTGAAGTTCCTGTGACGCGAAGCCGGCCGCGGGTCCGCTAGGGCGTAGCCTTACTCTCCTTCCTTTAGAGGAAGTGAGGAAGGAAGCGCATGCTCCTTGAGAGCCAGAGGCGGGAAGGGATGGCGTCAGCGACACCAACGCTACTCCAATCCCCCGAGAATGTAAGGGGGGAGGGGAGACTGGCAGGCTAGCGTATTTTCTGTGCCGCAGTCTTACGGGTGCTCCTGCGCTCAGGGTCACCTGGATTGCCATAAGCTCGGACGTCATTGTCGTAACTTCCCAACTAGACGTTACCTCAAGGACCAAATGACTTCCCTGCTCTTGCACCTGTCAAGGAGAGATAACCTTTTATGAAGGTTTTTGCTTTGGGATAGTTCTGGGATATCTGCCCCAGAATTCCTTCTTTCTGTTCCACCTGCTGTATCCAAAAGGTAGATGTAATTCTTACATACATCCGTAGAGAAGCCCTGCCTTTGTGATTTGAGTTGACATACAAAACGTCTCTCAGTACTTTTATTTCTTAGCTCTATGCAGTCTTTTGAATTGGGAAATTCAAGGAACATTGTTTCAAATAGTCAGATTGTTGTTACACTTTCTTACTGTCCTAGATGCTAAAACAGAACTAATAAAATTATTTGTTTCCCCAAGCATAGATGTCCTCATCAGTCTTGAGTAGGTAAGCATTAAGGGCCAGTTTCATTGTGAAATTCTCCCTTCCCCACTAAGGGGAAAGCTTCCTCTTCATCACCACAAGTGCCACAAAACAAACAAACAAACCAACAAACATTTCTGTAAAATTCTCCCCCAGGATTCAATTATGCCTAAGAGCCTGGCTGTTTCAGAAGTCTTTGAAGAGAGAAGATAGTCACAAAAAGTATTTACATCATAACTGGGTCAGGAGGTGCTTCCTACATTCTGAGAATATTCCCCGAAGCCTAACATCATTGCATAAAAGGAGTTATCAAAAGACTTTTAAATGATGAATACAAGCAACAGTAATGTGAGCAGGGTGCTGAGTAAGCTCTTTAGTTTCTGATTTTTAAACAGAGCTTGGAACCTTTCCTTTGGACTGTGGCATGCTGGGAACCAGTCTGAATAATGACCAAATAGAAGGATTCAGCACAATCAGGCCTTTGATTTCTGCACCCTTGCTTTTCAAGGAGCAACTTAGTCATTCAAGTACCTAAAAACAAACAAACAAACAAGCTAACAAACAAATCTCCCTTGTTCTGAAGGTTTTTGAGTTTGGAAGTCTCTCAAATACTTCCCTTTAGAATCTGAAGAGTACTTTCAATCTAACAGCTACTTCAAGACAAATAGTTTTTTCTTGGCACTGATAACATAGCATTATTATCCCAGCATACTAGTATACTGCATTAAAAAAAAATCATCACAATTTATAATCTCAGCTGAGTGAAGGGTAAATTTCCTTAGGTTACTCTTCTTTTTTATTTATTTATTTTGAGAGAGAGAAGGAGAGAGAATACCAAGCAGGCTCGCACTGTCAGTGCAGAGCCTGACACAGAATTCAAGCTCAAGAACTGTGAGATCATGAACTGAGCCAAAATCAAGAGTCGGACACTTAACTGATTGAGCCCCCAGGCACCCCAAATTCCTCTTCTTTAAAACAGAGAGGACCAGCTCTGTTTACCTCATGTTATTGTGGGGATCAAATGGTACATGTTTCAATCAAGTGATTTTGATGCCAAGAATATTATAAAAGACACAACTTAAAAATAAATCATAAAATATTTTCAGCATTTAAGAAACATCACTGAATATTATGTGAAATAGTCATTCACCAATCCTGACACTCGCTGTATTGCTCACCTGATTCCTCAGTCTCACTTTATTCTTCTTTTCATTCTCCTCCATTTTTCCTATTGATATACAGTTGACACACAATGTAACATTGGTTTCAAGTGTACAACATAGTAATTCAACAACTGTATATCTTATGCTGTGCTCACCACAAGCGTAGTTACCATGTGTACATCGCTATCACAATACCACTGATTACATTCCCCATGCTGTATGTTTCACCCCAGTGACTTATTCATTTCATAACCAGAAGCCTGTACCTCCCATTTCTGTTCACCCATTTAGCCTCACTCTCTTATTTGTCCTGTTTCTGACTCACTTCTCCCCTCAATATGCTTGCAGTTGAGAGAGAGGCTCAGGGTAGAATGAAGGTAAGAGATGGCTACTGAGCACATTGCATTGCTTACCCCCCCAAAATTTAAAGGTGTTTAACCTTTCTCTGCCATTTGGAATCAAGGCGACTGTATTAAGTGGACACCGAATCTAGAAACATGTTATGTTTCTGATCAAATCACCATGGAACACTGAATAAACTGTAAGGCATGGATTAGTTTATATTCTTCAGTCCTATGGATGTTTCTGCTGGACACAGTGTAGGTCTGAATGGAGTGATCCTAAGTTTCATTTAGTCATTTAGCAGATGTTTATTGAGCACTTGAAATGTAGCAAGTATTAAGATAATTGTTGGGCACACAAAAACAAACAAATAAGATGGCCACTGCTAGTCTTACAGCCTAATAAAAAGAAAGGACTGTGATTATAACAACACAACTATTTACTGACTGAGTGACAAATCCTACATATTGATCTCATTTCAGTGTAAGTGAGCAAATAAACACAAAAGCGTGTTATGGGTCCTCTGTTTTACGTGCAGAGTTCAGGTAGGGTGCAAATAATGAAATGGATGGTCAGGCAAGGTTTCAAAGAGAAGATATCTCTTTTTTGTTAATAATAAAATATTAAAATATTTGATTATTGTGTGTAAGTACACTATAAACATTGAATAATATAAAAAATACATGTTGAGGGGCACCTGGGTAGCTCAGTCGGTTAAGCGGCCGACTTCGGCTCAGGTCATGATCTCGCGGTCCGTGAGTTCGAGCCCCGCGTCGGGCTCTGTGCTGACAGCTCAGAGCCTGGAGCCTGTTTCAGATTCTGTGTCTCCCTCTCTCTGACCCTCTCCCGTTCATGCTCTGTCTCTCTCTGTCTCAAAAATAAATAAACGTTAAAAAAAAATTAAAAAAAAATACATGTTGAAATTACAAGTGTCATTGACACAGATCAGATGATCATGAAGTAGACAACATACAATGCACAGGGAGTTTGTCAATGCTTCTTGTGTATAGGTGAACACACGCATGGATTGCTTGTAATGCCCTCATTCACTGGTGGGGGAAGACACTTTGTGAGCTGAGTCTTGAAGATAGAGATACTTGAAGGATGTTTTTATTCATTACAGAAAAATCATTATATTAATTATTGCAAATTTTATTATAGGAGATTTCAAACAAACATAGAATTAGAGAAAATATTGAAATTAACTGCCATGATTTCATTTTCCAACTTAAAGATCATTAACTCATAACCACTTTTTTATTTTATATTCCCAACAACTTGGCACTTCCAATGGATTATTTACTTATAAAAATCCCAAACTTCATATCATTGCATCCATATTTAAGTCAGTATGTTTACCTAAAAGATAAGGATTCTTTTTTCCTAACATTACTGTAATGCCCTTAGCATATCTCATAATAATAATACTACCTTAGTATCATCACATATCCAGTCAGAATTAATACTTCCCCACTTGCTTTATAAATATTTTGACAGTTGGTTTGCTTGGATTAGGATCAAAACAAGGCCACGCATTACTTTTGGCTAACATGTGAGAGGTATATGTGAGTGTAAGATAAAAAAGATACATGTTGTAAGGTTTTCTTTATCTTCCCCAGACAAGTTAGTTTATTCCTTATAATACTGTGCATACTTCCAATACAGCATGTATCTCATTGTGCTGCTTTTTGAACATGCTTCTTTTCTCCTTATTCAAAAACAATAAATATACATTGAAAAATTCTGCTAATACAGATAAGCAAAAAGGGGGAAATCTGATAGAGATAACCACCAACTTTTGGTATATGTCCTTTTGGTGCATGTTTTTGTCTAAGAAAATATTTTATATATATATATATATATAATTGTATCTTATACTATAATTATTACCTTACATAATTTATCCCATTAGCTATTTATCCCACTAAACTATGAGCTCCTCAAAGGAAAGGATCTTGTTTTACTTACCTTTCATTTCTCAGCCATCCTTACAGCACCTGGAAATCTATTTGTATAAATAAATGAATAAAATGACAAGGATTACCAGCTCATCTTTGGTCTTCAGTGGAGTATTAAAGTCACCTACAATTACTATATTATTATCAATAAAATTGTTTAGGTTTGTGATTAACTGATTTATATATTTGGGTGTTCAAGTTGGGGGCATAAACATTTATAATTGTTAGCTCTTCTTGATGGATAGATGCCTTAATTATGATATAATGCCCTTCTTCATCTCTTGTTACAATATTTACTTTAAAATCTAGTTTGTCTGAGGGGCGCCTGGGTGGCTCAGTCGGTTAAGCGGCCAACTTTGGCTCAGGTCATGATCTCGCGGTCCGTGAGTTCAAGCCCCACGTCGGGCTCTGTGCTGACCGCTCAGAGCCTGGAGCCTGCTTCAGATCTGTGTCTCCCTCTGTCTGACCCTCCCCTGTTCATGCTGTGTCTCTCTCTGTCTCAAAAATAAATAAATGTTAAAAAAAATAAAAAATAATAAAATCTAGTTTGTCTGATATACGTCTAGCTACTCCAGCTTTCTTTTGACTTCCAGTAGCATGATAGATAGTTCTCCATCCCCTCACTTTCAATCTGAAAGTGTC